AGAATGCTCAGTATAATGCACGTGGAGTCTCTCTTGCGACCCCCTCCCTCAATAAAATAACACAACTACTTGAGGGTTGCTTTTTTTTTTTTTTTTACAGAAAGAGGAGATTTATTTATTAATAATTCATGAGTTCTCATCGAACATGCACGAAGCAACGGTGCTATTCAATAGAGAATACTGTCATCTGTCACTGTTTTATTTGACATTTACACTTTTTTCTTTTTGCTCGGTGCTACAAAACTTTCTTGGATGCCATGCTAAGATTAGTGAAATGGGGGGGGGGGGCGGCACACTGCACACACATGCTTTTGATTGTTTGTTTGGGTCTAGTGTGTTTTAATTACATGGGGGTTACAGCAGCGTAGCATATTCTCCCATGTTAGCCACACTGGTACCATTATCTACCCATGTGGTAGATAAATATATGGTCCTGAATGGATGGGTGAAAGATTGCTTGAATAAATAGATGAAGGACTAAAAGAATAGTGGATGAAAGAGAGAATTGTTGTAGAGAAGTGTACAAATAGACTGTGAAACAAATAATAGCTGTTGTGAAAGAAGCTGACACAAATGAATTGCCATTGCTTATGCCAAATAAATATTTATAAATGGCATCAGAGGGAGGCCCAGTAGTATAAAATTGCAAGCATGAAGGCGGCATTTAGCACAATGACATTACGGAGTTAGGAGGGCTTAGCGATTTCTTGCTAATATTAGGCTCATGAAAATCTTTCTGCTCTGTAGGTTAGTTATTATTTATAAAAATTGCAGAAACAGCTGATACATTCATAAGCTAATTATTGTAGCAGCTGGGTATACATGGTGCAATATGTCTGAGGCTGTGAAGTATCACAGATTTCTTGGGCCCTGCTGTGGTGTGCGTGTGCTGTAGAAGGCTAGATCCCTTAATCTGATCAGCCAAGCAAAGAATTTCTGAAGAAACTGGATTAATACTTCCCTAAATAACAAGAATGTGATTCACCTTCAGAACGGAGCTCTGCTAAACATGCCATTAGCTTGTGTCTGCTGGGGAATCGAGATGTTCTCAGGTGTCCCAAGGATGGGATCTTTGCCTGGTAACTTCCTCTGCCAGAAATTAATTTGGTTTGCTCATGTCTGCACACATGGTCACACTGCAGTCTAGTTCTCTCCTTAATAGCTCCACGGTCAGGACCTTGCAACTTGCTTGGCAAATTGAGCACTATACTTCCTAAAGACTAATGGCAGGGAGCACACAGTCCATAATGAGGCCTGTAGTGTCAGGCTAAGTGACTGTAATGAGTGCAGATTATAGTGGTGCTTATCCATCAAATGCAGCTGAGGGTTGCATGAGGCATTCCAAGATCATAAGCGGAGATGGTAGCAGTCAGCTGTCCCCGGCCCTTGCTCAGGCCGCATCCTCAGGCAGGCCAGTCAGGGCCTGGCTGTAGGTCATTCTAAACTTTGAACAGCTATTGGGTTCTTTTAGTCTTAAAAGTTTCTGAAAAATTACAGGCCTTGTGCTGTGCTTTTCCCCTGGGAGGGGTTTTCTCCATACCTGCTTGAAACATTTGAAAGCCTTCAGTTGGAGAGTTATACGGATCAGTAAAAGGGATGGAGAAATAGGAGCTTATTTTTTCCACAGATGGTTTATTTTACATTTCAAAAATTATTTCCTTTGTAAGGAAGAACCCCTGAGAAAACACTTGGCACTGAGAGGTTTTGGTGGAGGTTTTTTTTTTTTTTTAAGAAAAACTATTAAAGAGATATGGAATTCGGGGGGAAGGGAAGAGAATGTTTGTGGGAGTCCGCCATTCCCTGATTCTGTGTTTAGCCACATACTATCTAAATATACTGAATACAGATATTTATTCCAAGCAAATAATTAGATATCTTCTTTTCATTTCTCCCCCCCCCCCCCACTCCCCACTCCCCACTCCTAGCTTATTGCAAGGAAAGACCAGGTCTGCACAAATGTGGCCTCTCACTTGTAAAAACAAGGCAGTGTTGTGTTACAGATTAGTTTATAAATCCCCAGTGTCTTCACAGTTCAGTGCCTACAGCTGCTGCAGATGGGCCTGGGTTTTTGTCTCTTTGCTGTGCTGCAGCCGGCAGTTGAAGGAGAAAATGGAATGATCAGGTTATTAACATGTAGGCCGTGAGGAAGAGGCTGCACAATGAGAACAGCTGGTGTTGCTGTCTTGGCTGATGCAGTGGAGATAATCCAATCTTGCCTCCCCCTTTTTTCTTTTTTGGAAAAGGCAGAAGACACCGTGGAGAGTTAGACAAACAACAGCATGATAGTATGTGAGGTTCTTACGGCACCTTGCACCAAGCCTTGTCGCATTTTGGGTATACCAAGATCTTCCAATGAGCCTTTGGGCTAGGGGATTCCTCTGTTTCACATATAGCTTGCCCCTTATTTAAGCAACAGCAACCCACGGTCTCCTAAGTGCTTCTGAAATCATAATCCCACTGGCATTGCTTGGCCCCCACTGATTTCAATAAGAAGAAGAAGATAACTTTGCCTGGATACTGTGTTAGTGCTGTTTAAAAAAAACAAATTCTTGCTTAAAATTATGGGCTATAAAACTGTCAAACTTACTTTCCTTTCAGTACTTTGGGGAGATGCATGTTTTTATGTAACAGCATTATTGTGTTGAATTTTATCTCATAAAATGACAAGAAGGGATGATTCAGGCACTGCTGTTCAAGGAACAGCTGCCCATGCCAAAGTTTCTGCACTGGGCTTTGCAGGGCCATTTGGTATATCTGTTCTCTCCATACTGGAGGCTGAGAAGGCCTGCCACCCAGTAACAAAGTAACATTCTTCTGCTCCATGATTTATATTACATTCTCATAAGGACAAAAGCGGTATATGCTAGTTGATTATTATGAGGAAATTCTGTTGATAATTTCCCAATTCAGTGAATTAAAATTGGTGAAAAATTGGTAGTGAGTGAATTTGAGGTGGAAGAAGGCATTACTGATCAATTGAGAGTTGCAGTGTATGTTGACATTATTCTGGGAGCTTGGTGGGGCTTCCTAAGGAAACTAGAAAGCTTCCCCGCAAACAACTTAGGTTCTTAAGTGAGTGCTCCACATCCCCTTCTCAGCTGTCTGAGGGAACCAGAAACCATTCAGTACTACTTTTTGTGCATAATATTGATCACCAGGTGATTGACAGAATGTGTTGACAGCTTTCCAAAGTCTTCCTTTGTTTTCCAAATTACTGTGCTTTTTAGCTTTTAACTACCATTTGCAATGAAGACATACCCTCCCTGAATCACTCCTGCATGCCTTCTGAGTGTTACAGGGCTGTATGTGTGGGAATGGGCAGTGTAGAGCATTTTATTCTACCCTTTCCCAATATTAGTTTTGAAGCTTCACTCAAAGCTTCACTCATACTTTTGGATCCTGCCTGGGTCACATCAACACATGTGTTTCTCTTAATTGATATCATTTTAAATTAATTTTGTATGAGATCTTCAGCAAAACAAAACAAGCCCATGAAAATGTTGTATATAAACTGAAATAAATAACTTATAATAGGTGAATATGAAAGTATGAAAATACAGCTATCAGCAATGCAGACCGAATATATATTTGCAGATGGGATCTGAATTTATCCCTAATTTATCCATTTGCTGTTTGCATCTGAATACCACCCATTCAAATGTTGAAAGCATTGTTTGACCTTCAATCCATTGAGTTATAGGAGGTGGGAGCTTATCTTACAGTGTTGCAATTTGGTCTTTTAGCTGTCGAAAGGGCACAGAATATCCACTTGCAATTCACCTTGTGTTAACTTTGAAGCAACAGGTAAATAATTTAAGAAAACATGTGCATCAGTCAATATTAAAGAGCATTCCAATGCAAAATTTATCCGTATTATGATCTCCGTATTATGATCTCCAGTGAGGCCTATTTGGACATTGCCAAGGCATATGAGTAAAAGAAGCTTTGACAATATTAGACCTCCAGCAGTTAGATGACTTAAACCTTTACATTTTTTCTTTTTTAATTTTATTAATTGAACAAAAATAAACAATACAATTAATATAACAGTAATAAACATAATTAAACAATATTAACAATTAATAACAATAAATATTAAACATAATTAAACAATACAGTAATAACATTGCTACCTCCACCAGGACCAACAAATCATGCTACTTAATATAAGATCATTTATTCTTTCAGGCTGCCCCACTCCCATTTCCTTTCCAGAACTGCACTGACTCTTGTGATGGTTCACACCCGTTTCCTTTTATTAAGACATATTCAAATAAATGGTCTCCATATATTTTCAAAATTATTTTTACTCATCAAACCTTTTTTTTACTTACTCAAACAGATGTTGTGGCATCACATAAATGTAACCTAATATCCATTGACACTTCTGGCACATGCATGAAAATGACAAAACAACACATCCAGTTCCTTATTCCATTCTTGCTTAAGACCCTTAGGTATCATATTATCATTGATAATAGGTATGGAGAAACATAAATCATGGGTCTGTATGAATGAAGAACCTCTGATAGTGAAGGAGACGATGAAGCTGTAAAACCAGCAGGACCAAACCTGCTTTCTAACAAATGTTGCAGTTACAGGTATTTTAACCAGTGTATCATATCTGGCACAGAAAGGCAAGACTGACAGAAATCATCAGCAGGACCCATTTATTAAGTCAAAGTAAAAATTGGCTTTTCTAGCAATCTCTGTCAAATGAACTTTTTCTTACCAATTCTTAACTCTGGCTTTCCCCACAGACTCAATTTAACATGAGAAAATGTGTTACTGTAGGCTCTCGTAACTGATATAATTGGACCGGATCCTTGCCTTTTCTTCACTGAGAACATTGGCAGGGGTTTCCTTTTTTGAAAAACAAAATCTTATATGAGTTTTCATACCGGATAAAATAAAGTGTTTCTTTAACAGAACCAAATGATTAGGTTATTGAGCAGTTCACTGGTACTTAACAAGTCAGTTATTTTGTCTTTCTACTTCAGGGCTGGCTCTGTGAGCTGCTCCGCTGGAAAGAAAATCCAAGTCTGGAAAATCGTACTCTGTGGGAAAATCTGTGCACCATCCGGCGCTTCCTGAATCTTCCCCAGCATGAGAGGGACGTCATTTACGAGGAGGAGTCCAGGCATCACCACAGCGAACGTATGCAGCATGTCGTCCAGCTTACCCCTGAGCCTGTGCAGGTCAGTCTCTGTTTTAAAATGATTTTTGCCCTGCTTGAGCTTTAAAGTAAGGAATCCACAACTGGTTCCAGCATCTTCCAGCCTCAGGAGCACAACCCATCTTCCTGATTTCCCCTAGGATCAGGATCCTGTTGTGAGAAAGAGGTCCAGGTGTATTCATGCATTTGTGCTAGCTGGTTAGCTATAGGCTAACCTATTTTATTGTCATGTCTGCATTGCCATTCGTGCGCTGTGCAGTGCCCTTTGTGTGTTTTTCTGTAACATATGTTTTGAAGAACATTTAGAAAGGGGGAACTCTCCACCTCGTTCTTAGAATAGGGAAGGTGCTGGAAATTGAAGCATTTTTACAGAAGAAAAACTTGGAAAATAGAAAATGTGATAAAAGTGCCTATATTTCTGAATGTCAGCAGAGTGATTGTTTCCTTGACCCATATGTAACTTCATATGGCTACTAAAGTTATGTCATAGAATGTTAATTTCAAATAAAATTTACCAGCCTTGAAGGTAAGTTCCAGTGACAGCTGTAAGTATTTTCTTAAAACTAGAGTAAAAAGTTGACCTTGAGAAATTAGCCTACTTTGAGAACTCTTTGAGCACATCACATTTCTTCATGCTGCATGTAATTTCTTACTGACACATCCACCACACTGCAATGTATGCATTTGTATTTGTCAGCAACTTACAAAGCCTTAGATGAATTATTTATTACAATCAAAATATGAAAAATGAAGAAAAATAGTTGGAACTGGCATTGGCGTCTACATACAGCAACACTCTGGAGACCCTTTAACACATTTTATACATTAGATCTGCATTGTGGTGATGTTATATTTAAAGTATTGGTGTACAAACCTGAAATGTCTCCGCTGTTTTCTTAATCCAATGGTAAATCCTAATATTGACTTTGTAAGGAGGTTCTCTATTACACAATTAACCAGAAAGAGTCAGTGGTTCCTCAGATCAAACTAATCAAATTGAAGGCATCACACTTGGCTTTATGTTGTATCTGATAATAAGGCTTCTGGTCTGGTATCTTAAGTTTTAGTAAAAAGTAATGCATCCAATGCTTATTTTGTTCAAGGTATCCTTAGTTCCTCAGATTCCCTTCTTGAACAGATAATTCAAGAATGATATCCTCTGCAGTGGAGATAGATGCAAAGAATCTCATTTTACATTTACATTTTATCGCTGGGGCTCTTATTTGTACTCCGTGAGGTGGCTTCCTTCACAAACCTGTGCATCTTTTATAGCCCTCCCTAGCTTCCCCCAAGTGCTTCTGCAGTGAATTGAATTAGAAGGCTTCATTTATAAATCAAAGGAGATAACTGAACTTTTTGGGTGCTCTAACTTCACTGTGTGGAAGGCAAGCTCAGTTGTAACCCATGAAAATAGAGATTTTTGATTGGAAGTGGACAATGGTCAGTGGCTAAGGTTTTAAGGAGACACTATAGTTTGAGCTCCTTCATACATTCAAGAGGCTAAGTTGATACAAGCATCATTCAGTATTCACTTTCTAGACTTACATTGTAGTTTGTAAAAATGGAGCATGGAAGTGAAATAAAAACTGAACTCTTAATTTGGGCAGAGTTCTATTCCTAAACCTTAGTTTATGAGATGCACTTAAACACAAAACAAAAAGGGATAAAAAGAAAAAGCTTAAACAGAGCTTGAACTAAACCTTAAGGCTCTTGTCAATGTAAAGCAGGAGTGGGCAACTCTTGGTTCATGAGCCCATGCAGCCCTTACTGTCCATGCCGTGGTAAAAAGATGAATCTTTTAAAAGTCAATTTTAGTTTGTCCTGAACCAGATTTGACTGTTTTATCACCTTGTGACTGATACAGAATGTTTACAAAGCAGCTTGGTGCCTTTGAAATTTAATCCCTTTATTGCTTTAGATTGCTATGTGCTTTTGCATAGCAAACATTATTTTTCCCTGCACCTTTTGAACTGTGAAGTGCTGCCCATGGAGGGTTTGAGAGGAGCAAAAATAACTCCCAGACCTGCCAAAGCTGCTCACCTCAATGCAGAACTATGTACTAAATTAGCTCTTTTCCAAATTTAGGTTTATTATAAATTTCTACTAGAATTTTTATGCAACTTCTCAGTCTTCCCTGCTAGAGAAGAAATTCAGGAACTCTCAACTTCTGCTAAGGAAGTGTGAACAGGGTCTGTTGATTTTTTTACAGATTTATCCTATTTGTATCTCCTAGATGCAACTTACAGTAAGAAATCTATGCATTTCCAAGCCTGTGTTGCATTCTGTATAAAGAAAGAAAAAAGGTACGCAGCAGCAGGCACACATTTCATGCAGAAAGAATAAAGTGTGCATTACCAAAATGTACTTTTGTATGCTTTGGTCAATAGAGTCACACATCCCAAAATGTGTACATTTAAGATCATGTAACTTATTTTGTACATTATGAAAGATGCAAATAAATTCGTGTATAGATTTTTTTTAAATCACAAGCTCATGTAGAAAATAGATGGAATGAGCTTAACCTCCAAAATTAACAATCTCAATGAGACAGAGATTTAAAGATCCATGTAGCCTAAGTATCTGCAGGATTTTATCCCTAAGGAAGTAGCTCCAAAACTGTTACGTTTCTAGTGGATTACCCTTCTGAGAAGTAGCTCTCTTGTTTTGGCTTCAACTGATGATTTATAAATTATCTGATGGCCTTAGTGAATTAAATAGCGCTTACTACCCACTCTTAGGCGCCTCCAGTATTTTGATTTTGTAAAATAGCCCGTAAGAATTTCCTCATTGCTTGTTAGCTGTTTATTTCTGGGTTTAGTATACCACTTCTGAGCTGAGGCCAAAAGCCTCATGTCCAAATTTGAGTGATCTGCAAATTTGTTAAGAGTTATCTGCACTTCCTCATCCAAATCATCAATAGAAATGTTGAGGAGCACTGAGTCTTAGACTGAGTCCTGTGGTTCCCCACTCATTACCTCTCCCCAATTTGAGAAGGTGTCATTGGTGAGCACTCTTTGAGTCCAGTTCTGTGTCCACCAGATAGATGTTCAGTCTAGCCCCCCTTTAGCTCTTTTGCTAATCCAGGTATCATGGGGCCCAGTCCCCTGGATATCCTCTGCACTCCAGACAGGCAGCACAACATAGCCTATTTGCAGCATGTTGTGCAAACATGCCACTGATATAGCAAAGATCACCCAAAGAGCTTCAAGACTGAGTGGGACCCTGGACTGAATCGAGCCTGTGTCTACAGAACATGGGGACGGTTAAGCTAGACATTCTGAGCTGCAGCACAACACAGCACATAATTGAGAGAAAAGGTCTTTGCCTACAATGCAGTTGACAGATTTAGCATGTGTTAATAAATCAGCAATGCTTAGGAGCTCTTCTAAAAAAATGTGTCAAAGCAGAGGCCTTTGGAGGCATTTGGAGTTATGATTGTATTAATGTCCTCTATCCTTCCTCTTTGAAAATCCCGTGAGAGTTGTGTACTGAAAATGAGTGGAGATGCTAGGTGCACATGCATGTGTGAAGAGAGAAGACAAATGCTTTAGATGCTCTAACATTAAAAAATTCTTAACAGAAGATATGACTGAATATAGGTCATGGTCACTTCTCCTTGGGAAATAGTATTGCTACAAAACCATAATCAGAAGAGAGGCACCGTATGGATACATGCAATTATAAACTAAACTCTTCTAAAGACAAGACTGAATTAACCAATTTTGTATTGAATACCTGTTTTGGAAGAAGAATAAGATCAAAATACTTAGTTCAAAAAATTGATCTGCAAGGCTCTTTAAGAAGAAATCTAATTGCTTAAATAAGGTATTAATTATATTGGGAGTTGTCTGCAAAGCACAACAATTGGGCATTGTTAGACCCTACGACATGGTATTGTGAATGCTGAACAATTTATGCTTACATAAATTCCTTTGTTTAGTGTGGCAGAATCTTGTTCCTCCTGCCCCCCACAATTACTTTGTTCTCTTATCGCTGTAAGATTTTCTCTGATACTTCTTCTTGCATGAGGAGCTGGAAGGGTCCTCAAAGGTCATCTTGTCCACCCCTCTGCTCAGTTCATGGTCAGATTTGTAGTTCAGTCTCCTAGTAGCTAGACTTCATGCCTCTTCTCATCTCCAGTTGACCCTTAGAAAATTAACAAATCTGTCAAAATGGCATATGAATTAATGCCAACATAATGTTCAAGCAGATATCATCGGATTTTATTTTGTCACAACTGTCATTCTTAGAAGGTTAAGAATTTGGCATTGCATGTCTAGCTCTGGATTCTCTAGTTACAATAGCAAGAATGTGCCTTTCCAAGAACCTTTTAAAAAGCAGGAAAGCAGTACTAATGCAGCAGGTGAAATTTCCATTTTTCTAAAATCTCATTATGCCCAATTTTGAAATAAGGAGTAACTGGACACATACAGAGAGGGTGAGAAATAAGGCTGAATGTGCACAGGAATGTGCATCACTTTCCCTGCACTGCATTGCTTTCAGTGGGATGCATAAACATTTGACCAGAGCTAGATGTTCATAAAAAATGTACATTATAATTTAAAAAAAGTCCTGGATGTGCCATAGAAATAAAACAGTATTTTAAGGCCACCTCTTTGTGCTTGCCTCATGGCAAGGAAGCAAACTGAAATGGAAAGTAGCGCAATCAGCACTTGTGTACCTGCATCATGCATATAAAATGTTCACATGGTTACTCTGGTCTGCCAGTATAATATAATATGCATCAGTTTGCACAATGGCTTTGGAGGTGGAGGGGGAACAAGAAGAACCTCCATCTGTGTGAAGGCTGTGTTCAAAATAAGGTTTATTCAAGGAGTTCCATAAAGTTTCTGTAAGTTTGCAACAACATTTAAGAGACATGAGGAAAGACATGCTGAAAACACCTTCAGTCCTCTTAATCAGATAAACATTTTAAAATGTTTTGCAAAATGCCCAAGCTACAGAATAAGTAACACAGGTGACTGAATGAGGTTACAGTGTAAAATATACCGACTGTAGATT